CCCGCTTTCCCTTTTCCTCAAAGCCTGTGTGCTCCACCCCGACCCCAGCTCCAGGGAAGACTCTTCCTTCCCACCCCAGACATGTCGCTTCTCCTCCCTAGGGCTGCCACTCCCCACCACCGTCCCCAGCCCCGCTCTGTTCCGGGCTGGGATTCTGCCCCTGGAGCACCCTCCCCAGCTGACATCACCCATCCTACTCCAGCCCCAGGCCCCTCTGCCCACGCTGCACCCAGCGCCACCAGCGCCCTGACCACCGGACCTGCCGCTGCCGCTGCCGACGCCGCAGCTTCCTCCGTTGCCAAGGGCGGGGCTTAGAGCTCAACCCAGACACCTGCAGGTGAGGCATCTGTGGGGTGGTATTTGTTTGGAAACGCATCAAAGCCCTGTTCTGGAGCAGGTCTTCGGTGAGCCTGCCAGTAGGAGGAGGGCCAGGGAAGGGGAAGCTGTTGAATGTGTTGAACAAATATTTACCAGGCAGCTGCTGGGAACTGGAACTGCGTAAGCAAGTCAAACATTCTAACTCAGGAGTCAGATACAGGAGGGATGATGCCGGCAGAGGATGTGAAGGGCTGTGGTGAGAAGCACCTGGCCTGATGTTTCAGAGGTCAGAGATCTCTTGGAGGAGGTGACATCTGCCTGGAGTAGAAATGCGGGCCACAGGGCCAGGCGCGGTGGCTCACGCCTGTAATCCCAACACTTTGGGAGGCCGAGGCAGGCAGATCACGAGGTCAAGAGATCAAGACCATCTTGGCCAACATGGTGAAACCCCGTCTCTACTAAAAATACAAAAATTAGCTGGGCATGGTGGTGTGCACGTATAGTCCCAGCTACTCGGGAGGCTGAGGCAGGAGAGTCACTTGATTCTGGGTGGCAGAGGTTGCAGTGAGCCGAGATGGTGCCACTGCATTCCAGTGTGGTGACAGCGCAAGACGCTGTTTCAAAAAAAAAAAAAAAAGAAAGAAATGCGGGCCACAGCTTTTCCAGCTTGCAGTTCGGGCCTTCCCAGAAGCCTCTGTGGTAGACACCTACCCTACCTATGGGCTTCAAGAGACCAGGGGACATAGTGGAACCCTCATCCACCCTTATCTGATGTGTCTCTCACTACCCGTGTCCCACAGTGAAGCCATGGGGTGACATCATATGGGCCAGGCCATTGCGAGCTTCCCAGGAGTATCAGGAGAGGATGGGCTTCGCAGAAGCTTCGTCCTTCTCCCTGCAGCCTCCAGCGCCCAGGGCTGAGTGGTGTGGCAGGATGCCTAAGTTGTGAACTTAATGGGCCCGAGGGGCAAGTGAGTCCAGGGCTGGGGCTGAGTTCCAGCAGCATGAACACATCACATCCTCCCTCCTCAGGTGCCGGAAGCTCCGAAGGTGACATACGGCTTTTCAGACTCACCGGGGTGACTTGCCTCAAGAGGCCATACCCTAATGGGGGAACAGAGAGGAGCCTGGTGAAAACGGCCAAGCCCCCAAGACCTCAGCCCAGGCAGAAGCTGCTCTAGGACCTGCGCCTCTCAGAGGGCTCTCCTGCCATCCCTCGTCTCCCTGAGGCTGTCATCTAACTGGATAGAGTTGGAAGAGGAGACTGGGAGGCAGCAAGAGGGGTCATGTACCAGCTCAGGGGAAAATGGGGTACTGTCTCAGCTTCTAACCACCCTGGGCAAGTAAGCGTCTTACAACTGGCTCTTCCTCCCCTCACTAAGAAGACCCAAACCTCTGCCTAATGGGATTTGGGCTTCAGTATGAGAACTGTGACCCCCAACCCTGATAAAAGAGATGGAAAGCAGCTCTCCCTTCCTGTGTCACTGTTTGTCACTGTCCAGGCTGGCTGGTTTGGGCATGAATGTCTGCATCACTAAATCCACAGCCTGTCTTGCTCCCTCATCATGCAGATGAAGGAAATCAGGACTAAGGCGCCGCTGCAGATCCCAGGCAGGGCTGGAATCATGGATTCACCACTTTCGTGTTATTGCCAGGCATGGAGGTCAGGGAAAGCCCAGTTGATACAGAGTGCCAGCCCTCCTGCTTTTCACTGGGGTTCTTTTCTGGAAGGAGACAGCCTTCTGTGGCCAGAGCGCTTGGGGTGGGACCCAGATCTGCTGAGCGACCTTGCTTATCACTGCCCCTGCCTCTCTGAGCAGCCGTTTCCACATGTGCACATAGGGAACAGATTGCTGTGGTTCCTCGGGCTGCAGAGAAGCTTGAGACCATCTTCAGACAATGGAAAAGGACACTTGTTCTTCCTGCCGGGCCGCACTGGCAGCATCTGCTGCTTTTTGTTTCCTGCAGCTTGACTCTAAAGCCCCGGCTCCTGCCCTGTCTTCACTTCACTCCCACTTCCCTGAAAGGGAAGTACCAAAGGTCTGGGGCTAGCGGGCCTGGTTTGGGCAGCAGGCTCCCCTAACCACAACCCTCATAGTTTTCTTTTTCTTTTCTTTTTGAGATAAGAGTCTTGCTCTGTTGCCCAGGGTGGAATGCAGTGGCATGATTTTGGCTCCCTGCAACCTCCATCTCCTGAGTTCAGTTCTTCTGCCTCAGCCTCCCAAGTAGCTGGGATTACAGGCACCCGCCACCACACCCAACTAATTTTTGTATTTTTTTCTTTTTTGAGATGAAGTTTCACTCTTGTTGCCCAGGATGGAGTGCAATGGCGTGATCTCGGCTCACTGCAACCTCCACCTTCTGGGTTCAAGCCATTCTCCTGCCTTAGCCTCCTAAGTAGCTGCGATTACAGGTGTCTGCCACCATGCCCAGCAAATTTCTTGTATTTTTAGTAGAGACAGGGTTTCACCATGTTGGCCAGGCTGGTCTTGTACTCCTGACCTCAGGTGATTTGCCTGCTTCAGCCTCCCAAAGTGCTGGGATTACAGGCATGAGCCACCGCACCCACCCAATCCAGTTTTCTCCATCTTCACCTCCCTTGAACCCTGCAGTTGCTGCCTGAGATTCACCTGACTTGTCTATCCCAGCCCAAGCCCAGCCCCTCCCTCTTCTCCCTGAAGCCTCCAGTGCCCAGGGCTGAGTAGTTTGGGATGTACAAAAGGCCAGCCTTGGGCACCAGTGCTTTGCCCACTGAGGCAGGACACTCGGGCAGAGTTAACTCAATTGGGCAGCGACCTGCATGGAGGCACAGCCACCCTAATGGAGGTTTTCTCTGAGGTGTTGCGTCAGAACATGTGGTTATGATCTTAGTGGGCCCAAGGCAGCAGTGGGTTGAATGAAGAGACCATTCCTGACAGCGATGACTACTTTCAAATCATTTTCTCAGTCATGATGTCACCGGTCATGCCACAGGTCAATTAGCATGAGGCAGAGGAGGGTTAGGGCCCCACCAGACACCCACAGTATTTTCATATGCACCTCCTCAATTCTGAGGTCAGCATGATGATTGTCTTCCTTTTTCAATCGAGGCAATAGGCTCAAAAAGGCTAATTGGCCTGGGGATTGGCCCTCACTTCGGAACCTTCAACCTAGGTTTAGCTGCCTCTCAACTGCAGGCTCATTACTTCAGTTGATAGATGTTTGGTGGGTGCTGGGGCGCCTCAAAGTAAATCTGGTGGGGGAAAGGGCCCAGCCAGATCATTCCAGTCAAGAGTCAGAGCCCAGCTGCACAGGTAGAGGTAAGCCTGGCTCATGGGGGAGAGATGCGGGCAGGAGCAATGGCTGGAGGTCAGGGCTTGGCATTGGAAATCATCTGGTCCTACAGGGGCCCGGTGGGGTGGGTGTCATCAAGCCCGTGTTACACGCCTGTGTCGGATGCCAGATTCTACCAAGCACCCGGAATTCAAACCTGAAGCCCAGGATCTTTCCACGGCGACTGAGGGCTGTGGGCCATGATGAGTGCTGTGGGAGAGGCTGGAAGCGACTTGAAATGGCGCCTCAAGACCCCCTCCGGGAACCCATGCCCGCTTGACCTTACTATCACCTCGGCCGGAAGTGCCTCCGGACTTTTCGGAAGTCACTTTCACCTAACCTTTCGGACTACCTCTCCGCCGGAAGTGACGCAGGGCAGCGGCGTCGCGGGGGCGGGGCTAGGGAAAGAGCCGCGCCAGCGGTCTTGTGGCCGCGGGTTTCGCACGGCCCAATGAGGGAGGGCGGCGTGGCCCGGCCTGGTAGCGACGAGGACGCGCCTGCGCAGAGGCAGCAGCACCACCGGAGTTGACTCCGGGGGCGCGGCGAGGAGGTGAGCGGGGGCCACAGCCCGGGCCGGGGGGACCCGGGGTGCAAGAGGGCAGGCTGGATCAGGCCGGGCAGGAGCGAGCCGGGCTCCGAGTGTCAACGAGAACTAGGTGACGAGGAAATTGGGGGTGGAAATTGGCCGGAGCTGTCCGGAGATGCCGCAGGGGGAGGGTTCTCACGCCGCACAGGGCGGAGTCCTGGGGCTTGGGGCGGGACGTGGAGTTGGGACGGGTGGGACCTCCGAGCTGGTGCCAGTGGAAGGCGGAGCCCGGCGGCGGGGGGCGGAGCTAGGAGGGTCGGGGGACGGAGCCTGGCTCTTGAAGGAGGAGCTGGAGGAGGTGAAAGGCGGAGCCTCGGGCTCGGAAGCCGAGGGGAACGGAGCGCAGGCGCTGGGGGCGGGGCTTCAGCCGGTGAGTGGCGTAGCTACAGCTCCGGAAAAGGGGTCTAGTTCTGACGAAGGCGGGGCTGCAGGCCCCGGGCCGGCGCCGCGTCCTCCGACCGGCGGTGCCAAGGAACCAAGTGAGGCGCCCGGCACGAGTAATGGCCCCGGGCGTCGACGCGGGGGTGGTCTCCGTGGTGGTCGAGCTTGGGGACGCGGTAGGCCGAGAACTCCTCCGGGAGAGGTGGTGTGGGTGGAGCGGTCTCAGCGGCCAGCGGACACAGGGCCAGTCTGGGTGCCCCGGAGACCCCCAAGGGCTCAGAGCTGGGGCGGCGCCCCTGGCGGAGGCACAGGGCCAAGCTGGGGGGTATCTCCCGAGGACCCGGGCTCCTCGGAGCCACCCAGCGGGGATGTGTGGGTGCCTCGGGGCCGACCCCCTGCAACAGCCGCAGAGGTGTGGGTGGGCTGGGCCGAGGGCAGCTGGGTGTGGCGTGAGTGGGACCGCCCAGTCGGGGCAACTGCTGTGCAGCCAGATAGGGTCTGGACTTTGCGTAAAGGGACGGGTGGGAACTGAAGAGCGGAGGTGGGGACCGGGAGGGAGGGAAGGTATGAGGGTGAGCAAAGGGGCGGGGCCCTGGCTGCTGTGGCCTCCCCTGACCCCCTCCCCCCGCTGCTGGGGTCCTCGGCCAAGCCCCCTTCTCACTGGACTGGTAAGTGTGGTCCCGAAGCTCGGGGAAGAGGGCGGTGACCCGGGATAAAGGGGATCCCCGGGGCAAGCAAGATACAGTGGTGGTGGGACCCTCCTGGTACCTGCCCGTGTTCCATGCCCTTCCTGTCTCCCCCGTCCCCCCCCCCCGTTCAGTCTGTCGGTCGGGGTCTGTGCCCACAGAGACATGAGGCTGAGCTGGGTCGAGGTCCTGACAGTACTGTCCATCTGCCTGAGCGCCGTGGCCACAGCCACAGGGGCCGAGGGCAAAAGGAAGCTGCAGATCGGGGTCAAGAAACGGGTGGACCATTGTCCCATCAAATCTCGTAAAGGGGATGTCCTGCACATGCACTATACGGTGAGTGGGATGGGCGGCCTTTGGGGAGTGGGTGGGGCTTCCAAGGACCAGAAAGTGCTTGGGAGTCTGATTGTCTATTAGCCAGGTAGGTGACCTTGGGCAAGTCCCCTCTTCCCTCTAAGCCGGTTTTCATGGTTCTGCCTTGCCCTTGCCTACTGTCCAGGTGGGCACCAGCAGGCAGTGACAGTGTACTGTCAGCTGCCCAAGGCTCTGTCCTCTTAAAGGACTATGACCAGCCGGGCACGGTGGCTTGCACCTGTAATCTCAGCACTTTGGGAGGCCAAGTCGGGTGAATCACCTGAGGTCAGAAATTTGAGCCCAGCTTGGCCTCATGATGAAACTTTGTCTCTACTAAAAATACAGAGTTAGCCGGGCATGGTAGCGGGCGCCTGTAATCCCAGCTACTTGGGAGGCTGAGGTGGGAGAATTGTTTGAACTCAGGAGGTGGAGGCTGCAGTGAGCCAAGATCCTGCCACTGCACTCCAGCCATGGCAATAGAGTGAGACCCCATTTAAAAAAACAAAAAGGGGCCGGGCGCGGTGGCTCAAGCCTGTAATCCCAGCACTTTGGGAGGCCGAGGCGGGTGGATCACGAGGTCGAAAGATCGAGACCATCCTGGTCAACATGGTGAAACCCCGTCTCTACTAAAAAAAAAATACAAAAAACTAGCTGGGCGTGGTGGTGCATGCCTGTAATCCCAGCTACTTAGGAGGCTGAGGCAGGAGAATTGCCTGAGCCCAGGAGGCGGAGGTTGCGGTGAGCCGAGATCGCGCCATTGCACTCCAGCCTGGGTAACAAGAGCGAAACTCCGTCTCAAAAAAAAAAAAAAAACAAAAAAAAAACAAAAAGGACTGACCACCAGTGCTGTGGGAGCCAGCTTGATGGGGAGAGCAGCTGAGGGAGGAGGGTGTCAGGGGTGGTCCCCTCTTCCTCATTGGCCTTCCCATGGTCTCACAGGGGAAGCTGGAAGATGGGACGGAGTTTGACAGCAGCCTGCCCCAGAACCAGCCCTTTGTATTCTCCCTTGGCACAGGCCAGGTCATCAAGGGCTGGGACCAGGGGCTGCTGGGGTGAGTCATGGGGGAATGGGCTTGGGAGCAGGGGGGGGCATGCATGGCCACCACCCAAGAGGTAAGCTGTGGGAGGCAAGCCCCAGGGACACAGGACAGGGGCCCTGGGTGTTGCCGTGGGCTGAGCATGTGTCTTCCTGCAGGATGTGTGAGGGGGAAAAGCGCAAGCTGGTGATCCCATCCGAGCTGGGTAAGAGGCCCCTCTGAGGGTGCAGAGTGGGTTTGGGGTGTGTGACTGGGAAGGATGAAAACTACTTCCGCCTTTCATTGGTCTTCACCATGTCTATTATAATACGTGTGTCCTCCAAGTTTGGCTGTGTCTAGCAGTGAGGACAGGGCAAGATCCTCGAAGCACTCAGCCGTAGCGGCCCCGCTCTGCCCTTGCCAGGCCTTTGGCACCCCCTTCCCATCTCCATTACACCCTCTCCATTTCTGCCATTCTTGCTGAGGGGCAGAACACCCTCCCTTTGCCTAGGCTGGAAGGGAGCGTGGCCATCGCTGACCATTTCTTTCTGCATCTTCAACAGGGTATGGAGAGCGGGGAGCTCCCCCAAAGATTCCAGGTAGTCAACCTCTTGACCCCCCCTCACCTGCGGCCAGCCCACCTCCCTGTGGCTCTGGCTGGCATTTTGACCCCACTTCTCCCCCACAGGTGGTGCAACCCTGGTGTTTGAGGTGGAGCTGCTCAAAATCGAGCGACGATCGGAGCTGTAGCCAGACTGGGGAGGGGCAGGGGGAGAGGCCCCCATCCAGGGACCAGATTGTTCTAAAAAAAAAAAAAAAAAAAAAAAAAACCTTAGAAGCCCATGGAGTGACTGTGTGTGTTTGTGGGTGCTGAGAGACTCAGAGACCTCAGCTCCAGCATCCCCTACCGTCTCCTTTCCTGACTGCGTAGTCTTGGGGGTCTGGGCTCAATGGCATGGTGGCCCTTTCCCAGAGAAACAGGAGTGTTCCTGCCTGCCAACAGCAATACTGCTCCCCACTCCCTCACAGCTCCCTAGCCACTTCCAGCTCCTGGTCTGGGAGCCAGCACTGGGCTATCGCCATGACTACGTGGCCCTCAGGAAGGCCTGCGGTCACCTGGGGAGAAGCTGAGCTGGCAGAAGTCACAGAGCGGCATGCCCCCCTAAAAGAGATCAGTGGAGTCTGTTAGCTGCACCAAAGGTGTATACTAGCTTTATTAAAGGGCCCGCGCCGCAGAGTCAATATAAAAACACAAAAAGTCCCATCAGTTTAATAACAATAAAAAACCCCAAGTGGAAAACTGAGGGGGGCAGGGGAAGAGACCCCTGGGCCAGGGGCACGAGGAGCCCTGCTCATGGCACCAGGCCTGGCCACAGGGTCCCCTGGTATTGCTGTTGCTATGAGGTTGGGGGCAGCGATTGTCCTGTGGGAGCCACCGTTCACCTGGGTCGAGGACCCTCATTTCTTCTGGGGTGTGCTCAGCTTCTGCATGCCCCGGATCTTGTCCAGCAGGCCAGAGATGAAGGCCTGGGTGGGAGGGTAAACATTAGGGAGACCAGACCCCAGGATGTCAGGAGCCGGGCTCCCCTCACCCTGCCCCTGGGGAAAGCTCTTACCTCTGTGGGTTTGTAACAGTCAACCAGCAGCTCCTAGCAGGGTATGGGGGAGGAGGGATAAGTGAGTCCTCAGGAGTAGCGGCCTGGAGCTCACTTATACCGACTTCCAAGGGACTGGGGCCACCCTGAGGCACAGGAGATGCCACAGCCACCTCACAGCTAGGCACTGGCCCCATTCTGCTGAGGCAGGAGCTGAGACTCCAGGGCCTGGCTCCACAGTAGTGCCTCAGGCAGCCCTTCGCTTGCCGTCCCCCCAGCTCCCTCACCTTGACCCTGGCAGCCCGGGCATCATCACTCTCCATGTCCAGGAGCTCATCCACGTCAATCTCCAGTTCTGGGATCTCCTCTTCCTGGGGTGGGGGTGGGGGAGGGGGAAGAGACAAGAGCCTGAGTTAGAGGCTGTAAAGGGGCTCTGGGTCGAGGCCCCTGCCTACCTCGGAGGAACCCGGCCCTGTGCCCAGCAGACACAACGGCAGCTGCTCTGAGGAGGAAAACAGATCAGGCCCGTGCCAAGGCAAATTGCCCAAAGGGGGGTGGGGGGGTTTCCTGTCCCTGCCAGTGGGCACCAGGGGTGCCAGACAAGGCCAGCTAGCCAGGACTGCAGACCTTGGGCTGGGAACCCAACAGATGTGTCTCCCCAGCATCCGGACCCCCCATCTCACCAGGGCACTGGTGGGTGCAGCTGTCCCAGCTCATCATAGCCCCCTCCCCTCCCCCAAACACCTGTCACAGCTCCCAGGGAGTGAGGAGGAAGTGAAGGCTGAGGGGTCACTGGGAAGGACCCGGGCCTGGCAAAGAGGAAACAAAGAGCCCATGCTTTGGTGAGGGAGGGGGTGCCCACCACCCTGCCCCACCCTCCCCAGGAAGCCCCTATCCTGTTTGGAGTCAGCTACATTCCAGGGCTGGGCTAGGGTAGGCAGGCAGCACCGGGCAAGCCCACTCCTCCACCCTGCCCCCCGGGGCCTGAGTCACCATCTGAACAACCAGGGAGTCATGGGGGTGGAGAGGCAGAGCCCAGAAAACGGGCTAGCCTGCACGCATGCCAAGATGGAGTTCCAGGCTAGCCCACAGAACAGCCCAGCCCCAGCCACCTATAGACTAGCTCCGTGTAACCACAGTCTTAAGCCAGCGGGCACTAGGGGGTGAGACCTCCTGCCACTGCCAGCCCAGACTAGCCCCCCTGCCTCTTGCCCAAGGCCCAGGCTCCGCCTTGAGGCTTCTGGAGGACACTAAGCTTGACCTGGGGAGTGGCATGAGAGGCGCAGGGTCTGAGGCAGCGGAGAAAACAGAAGTGACTTAAGTCAGACAAGAAAGAGCATATATTCGGGGCGGGGAGTGCAGAGAGGAGGGGAGCGCGCGCGGAAGCAGAGTGCCCTTTGACTCTGGTGACAGGCGAGCTCAGTGGGGCTCCCAGGCGGACCGGCTCGAGATCGGATTTAGGGTGTCGGCGCGAGGTGGGAACACACCTGGCAGTCGTAGAGGCGCGTGAGCTGCTCCAGGATCCACTCCTCTAGGTTGAGGCGCTTCCGTAGCTCCTTGCGGTCATACTTGACGGTGACCTTCCCTTGGCGCCTCACTGGGCCCTCATCGTCCGCGCCGCCCGGGCCTTCTCCTGCGGCCCCGGGGGGACTCTGAAAGTAGACGCGTGGTCCTGGGCCGCCACTGCCCGGCCCGGGCGCCGGGGCCGCCAACGCCGCGCCCCCCGCGGTGCCGCTGTCCGCCATGGCGGCCGCCGGGGCCACGTGCGCGCGTCGGGCCCCTCCCTGCGCCGCCGCCTCCGGGACGCCCGCCGGCTGGCTCGGGTTAGCTCGCCCGCTCCGCTCCGCGCGGCTCCGCGGCGAGGGCGGCGGCGGGGGCGCCCGGGGGCAGCTGCAGCATGCGGAGCCCCCGGGCCTGGCCTGGCCGCGCCCCGCCCCCTCCCCGCCGATCCGCCCGCCCTTTGTCCCCCGCGGCCGCCGCCCGAGCTGCCGCCGCCGAAGCGCTTTCTCTGTCTCGCTCTTACTCCGCCCCCCGACCACACCCCCTTAAAGGGACAGCCCCTCTACGCGCCCCTCTCCCTTACTCCGCCCCCGGGCAGGGGTAGGGGAGGGGTCTCTTCTGCAGAGGGTGGCCTAGCTGTCCATACCCACTAAATGCCACCGTCCAGTCCCAAACCCAGGCGTTCTAAGTGCTCAGGACGACGCTTTGCGCTCCCGCCAGGATCCTAGTCCTCCCTGGACCCTTCCACATTCTGTCCTCATTGAGGCCACCTTAGAATAGGGGCCCTCTGAGAATGCAGGGAAGTGGACAGCGTGTGCAGACTGGGAGTCTGGTGAGGAGACGCTGCGGTCCCCGATGTCCGGGTCCTCTAGCCCTCGGCCAGCGAGGGGCGAACCCCCTCCTGCGCACGGACCGACACGTGGACCGGGGTCCCGGGGATGGAGGAGTGGAGAAGGCCGGCGGGAGCTGTCCGAGTCCCCAGACGCCCTGACTAGCAGGGTCCCACGCCCCCAACGAAGGAAGCCGGGGCCGGAGAGGGGGATGAGCGGAGGCGGCCGGCCAGCCCGAACGGCCAACCGCGGCAGCCACCGCCCACCGGCAAGATGGCGCGGGGCGCGGGCTTGTGGGAAACGGAGTCCGCGCCGGGCACCGCCCCTCCCCCGCGGCGCGGCCCGGCCGGGAAGCGCGAAGTTGTTTGGGGCGTCCTCTGCGCTCCCGACCCGTGTGCGCACAGAGCTGGGCAGTGAGGGGGCCGGGACTCAATAATGAAGGCGATCATTGCGGCTACCCCTAGGAGCGTGCGTCGGGACAGCAGCCCAGACGGCTCCGCCGGGAGGGCGCCGCGCCGGGGCTCCCACACCCCCGCCCTGCGGCTCCTGGGTCCTCCACACAGCCCTGGCCCACTTCCAATAGGCTGACGGCGCATCCCATTCCCTCCCCCTGTGTGATTTTCTGCATCTTTAAATGGTCTCATTCATTCGTTTATTGTCTGTCTCCCACTTCTAGACTGTGAGTTCCGTGGGGCTGAGCCCTGCGCCGACCAGGCTGGAGTGGTCTTCAAATCCACTGCTATTAGGCAAATTACCTGGTCCCCGCTGAACCCCAGCACCTAGAACTATGCCACACTCATAGCAGGTCGCCGCACTGGTTGAACAAATGATTTGGAAAGAATGAATGGCTTCCTCTGTGCCTGCATTTCCTCAGAAGGTTGTAAGAAAGATTAAATAGGAAAATTCGTGGCAGTTCAATTACTACACCACGGAGGTGAATTAAGTCGCACTGGTAGATGAAACAGGAGCTGAGACTTTAAACCCAGGCTGTGTGGCTCAAATCCCCTGACACGAAGTCTCTCCTCCACCTCCTCGCCTCCCTGTAGACACCACCCAATAAGGCTGTGAAGCTCCGGGGGATTTCCGTGGACGGCAGGCTCACCTTGAGCCATCCCAAACAGGGTCTTGGATCTGAGTGGCAATATTTCTGCCCCCAGCCCCTCACAGACACTCTCTGGATGTTGTGGGGGAAGCCAGCTGCAGCTGGTGAGGTTGAGAGCTGGATTGGGACTGGCACCAGGGTCACACAGCTGAGGTTGCATCCAAACTCCAACCCAGGACGTTGGGCTCCTCCTTTGCCCTATCGTCACAGAGAAGAGACAAAGAGAAGACAGAGGCTGGGCATTGTGAGGGCAATAGGCTCTAGGGCTCCATTCAGGGAAGGGGAGAGTGAGCTGACCACCTCCCTATGCCCTTCCTCTGGCCTCAGCCTCCCTGCAGCCAAGCTGGGCACTGAGGAAGGGCTGACCCTTGCTCTTTCGGATAAGGCAGTGTTCACCCTCTCCACTGGGTGCCCCATTCGTGGCCTGGCCTCCTGCCCGAAGCCTGGCCTGATAGGAGGATCACTTTCCCCCAGTCCAGATTCCCCACCACACCAAGCATTGATTTGCCACTTGAGGGTGCAAACAGATTGAAGGGAGAAGATCCTCAAATAGCCCCTCATGCCCAACAGCTTCGGTGGAAGTGGGGCCTGCAGGCCATGAAGACCTCCAGCTCTAGCTGTGCCCCCAAGATGCTTCCACCCTGAGAGCTGGCCTTTCTGTCCGTCCCGTGAGGGTTGGTGTGACGGTTTCCAGCCATGTCCACAGGTCAGGGCACCCCTCTGAGGGTTCTCTGGGCAGAGCATTCTTCCTGACTCTCCCTCTTTCTCCATTCTGTGCCAGTCCCAGGCACACCCGGATTCCTGTCCAGTTCCCATGGCCATCCACCCAAGACCACTTGGTGCACGTGGTTGTGCTGGCCTGCCACCTTCCTGGAAGCTGGGCCACCCTGCACGGAACCTTAGCCTTGGAGTAGGAACTCCTACTCCAAGAAGAACTGGGTTCAAATCCTGGCTCTATACCATAGGCTGAGAGGCTGTTTGCAAGGCACTTACCTGCCCCAGGCCTCTTCAGGGGGCTGACGGTCGGTCCTGACCTCCTGTGGTTGGGGGTCTGTGCCCAGCCGTGGCCCTCCTGCCTGAGCCCTACTGGGACTGGAGTGTACCCTGCTCCTCCTTTCAGCCTCAGGCTGTGGCCTTCCCAGCCCTACCCCTCCCAGGGCCCCAGCTCCCCTCCATGAGAGTGCATCCTTGAAGCCAGGGCTCTGGGGAGGGTCCTGTAGGTCAAGACTCTCCTTTAATCAAGGGTAGAGTCTGGAAAGGCTGCCTGCCTTCACCATTACTGCTTGCTGAGAAACCCTATTACCATTACCAAGGCTGGAAAAAAGTGTCTGGGAAGGAAGGAGCCCTCTAATGGGGGCTGCCCTGGCCTCGGGAGACACAGGGTTGGAGGAGGAGAAGAGGCTCCGGCCCAGGAAATAGGTGCCCATCCTGTTTTCTTCCCCAAGGAGCTGCTGTCCTATGCTTCTTTGAAGTGCCCTTGCCCAAGACCTACGGCCCACAGCTTGACCCCCTAAGCGCCGGCCCTGGCTCCAGGCTCTGCTAGTGCCAGCATGGGCTGGAGGTTCCCCTGCCCCAGAGCTGACCTGTGCCCTTTCCTCCTTCCTCCCTGGTGTCCCCACAGCTTCCAGCCACTCATGTCAAATTGGCATCTCCCCACCCATTTGCTTATATATCCAGCAACCTTTAGCTTCTAGACAAGGTGACTGAGGAACCTAGAGAGAGTAGTTTTGGCCACTAGCAAGAGCCGGCCTTGAACTCCAGCCTGTGAGGGCAGGGGCCAATCTCTTGCATGGCTCTGTTTTCCCAAGGAGGTCTAGAGGCTCCTGGGCCTCAGGAAGTCGGAGGGTTGAAACCCTCCTAAGAAGCTGTGTGACCTGGGGCAAGTCCCTGCCCCGCTCTAGGCCTCAGGTGGAGATCATAATCACACCCCACAGGGCTAGGGCTGAAAGCAAGGAGATTCACTAGGTTAGAGTTGATGGAGAAATTGGTGAGGTGTGGAGGAAGGCCAGGGCCAGACAGGGCTCCTCGTGGGGGTCTCAACGCCTGGGGCAAAGGGGCCTGCAAGGCGGCTCCTTCTCCGCTGACCCCTCCCCCCCAGAGCCAGCTGCATCTCTTTCTGGGTTTCTAGGTGACTTGGCTGGCCCCTCTGGATGAGTTCTACTTTAAACCTGCTGCTGTTACTGCCTCTGTATTGGGGGGGCTCCCTCAGGGGCCCCCAGGCAGGAACCCCCCCCCCACCCAGCCAAGCCCTGCGGGAGGGGCTGCAGCCCCCACCCATCCCATTGGTCATGCGCCTTCCCCGCTCCCATCCTTGGAACGCAGATTTCAGGGCACCTGCTGTGGGCCAGGCACCGCAGAGCCCCTCCTCAACCCTCCTGTCTGGGGACACCCACAAAGCTTCTGACCCCTCTGGGCAGACAACAGCGTTCCCCGCGTAGTTCTCAGCCATGAGGCCCACAGTCGGGCTCCAGTCATGGGGTCTGCGGCAAAAAGAAGGGGGCTGTTCTAGGACCCATTCTCAAAGACCAGGATGCTTGGGTCCTCAAAGGAGGTAGCAGGCGCCCGGCCTCCCAGGGCTAGGGACGGGGGGAGGGGCGCCTGCCTGTGGGAGGCCCATTAGTCGGCTAAGTGCTCCCAGGGAGGGGGACCGCACAGCAGAAGAGTGGGTGAGGCGAAGCCAGGGCAGAGAGGGGCGGGAGAAGCTTTTCCTGCTTTCAGCTAAGTGCGGCAGAAGCGGGTGGGCGGCAAGGCTCTGCGGCGACCCCCGGCCCAAGTCCAGCTTTCCACCGGCACCGCAGCCCTTTCGCTCAGAAACCTCAGTGGGCTGATCCCGGGCCGCCTTAAGCAGCGCCCTCTACACCCAGTCCCTCCAGTTGCTCCCCAACAGCCACTCCGGCCCCCAGCGCCTTCATTCCACCCCAGGCGCGAAGGATCAGGTCCTGCTAAGTCCCGCAGCAAAGTCTAACCCGTCCGCGTGCCCCCGCCCCAATCCCCGCTCCGGCTGCAGTCGCCGCCCCGGCCGCCAGGGGGAGCCGACGCGGGGCGGGCGGGTCCGACGCGGTGGGAGGGGGCGGGACCCTGCAGGCCCCGCCCCGTCCCCGCCCCGCCCGGGCCCCGCCGAGGCTCTGGTCGGTCCCGGACAGACTGGCGGGCGGGCGGGCACTGACGCCGCGGGGCCGGAGTGGCCCGTGCGGTGGGACCAGCGGCGCCGTCGGTCCCCGTCAGGGCTCCGTGAGTCCCCGACCCGCCCCGGGCCTGGCCATGGCGGGCGCCCAGCCCGGCGTCCACGCGCTGCAGCTGGAGCCGCCCACCGTGGTGGAGACCCTGCGGCGCGGGAGTAAGTTCATCAAATGGGACGAGGTAAGCGCGCGGGACCCTGCTCCGCCCAGATCCCGGGACTCCTTCGGTCAAGCTCGACCAGACGCCGGGGACCCCCCACCCCAGCCTCGCCTGCCCATGGCGCCTGGCGGCCCTCCGGAAACTTAAGTCCCCGATCGTCCCCGTAATGAAGACTTTGTTACCCCAACCCCCAGTCCCTCAGCCCTGGAAAATTTAGCTCCACTCCTTGGCGCAGAGACTTCGAACCCCAATAAACCTCGCCCCGCGTTTTCATTCGCCCTTCCCACCACTCCCTGCCAGACTAATTCTGGTACTCTGATCCTGGCCTGGCCCCCAGACCCTTGCCCAGCACTGGACCCCCGGCTGCAGGACCCTGATCCTCAGGCTGGCCCTGGGCATCCTCATCCCGGGTGTGTGCCAGGGCGCCCCTACTCTTCCCGGTGCCCTGCCTCAACAGTCCTCGCCCATTCATCGCTTTTCCCCCTGTTCTGGTTGGCACCCCTTTGCCCTGCTTCTGGATCCCAGCCCAGCTCCCTGCGCAGGTGGGAGCATCCCCTAGTGGAGACTTTGCCCCCCAAGTTCCTCCACCCTGGGAACTTTGCTCCCCACTCCTTAGGCTTGGGACCTTGAACCCCAATACATCCTGGGCCCCCTTTCTCTGTCCTGCGGCTGGTGCTTCCCAAATGCCTGGGTCCCCACCTTTGGCTGTCCCCCATCCTGGGTCCCCACCTCTGTCCCCTGAGCCACTCCTTCCCCAGGGCCTCCACCCCGATGGCCTGAGCTTCCTCACGACTCCTTTCCAGCCAGGCTACAGGCCTGGAAGACTCTGGGCTCTTTTCCGGCTGGGTGGGGCCCCGGGGTAGGCGTGGGAGCTGGGGGGAGGAGATGGGGGCGTGGCCTGAAGCCGCAGGTGTGCTAGGAAGGGTGCCTGGGTGCCCCAGGGGCTGGGGGAGACCCCTCCCCCCAGGCTGGCCTGAAGGGAAAAGTTTCTTCTTTTCCTTCCACTGTGATAAACCCAAATAAGGAAGTGGGAACAGGGAGAGGGCCCTGGGGGTGGGGTGGGGGGTGCTGAAAGAGGCTTGGGGCGGGAGAGGAGGGGGCCTGGGCTGCCTTTAAGGGCAGACCCCTGGGGAGAGGCAGGGGGAAACCCTAGGGGCAGTACCCACAGACTCCCCCTCCTCATACCATTTGGGGGCCTCAGCCCCAGGGTAGGGTCGGGAAGCCTGAGAGGGAATGGGGCTGGGTGTCAGCACACTGAGGAGGGGGAGGTCTGTGCATCCCGGAAGTTTTAGGGCCTCCTGTCCCTTCTGTTCCCAGGTCACTGCCTATCCTTTGTAAGCAAAGCCTACCATGGGTGGGGCTGGTACAATCCTCATTCCCCAGAAGAGGAAACTGAGGTCTGGAAAGCAGAGACTTAGCCAAGGCCCCACAATGGGATGTGGCTGAGGCCAGGAGCTGGGAGCCTGGCAAAAGTCTTGGCTCCCTGCTTCCTGGGTCATAGGACGCTGGAACCATACTGCCTGCAAGCAAGTCCTGGCTCCGGTGACCTCGGGCAGGCTACAAAGCATCCCTGTAACTCAGTCTCCCCATCTGTTAAATGGGACTGACAAGAGCACATCCCTCTTAGGCTCGTTAGGAGGCCTGTGAGTGTGCAGAGACGTTCGGTGCATGGGACTGTCCTTGGCGCACAGTAGGGGCAGTGTATGCATGTGAGACTTTGTACTGATAATGACAGTATTGCCCATCAGACACCGAGCAGCAGTTTGGGGGTGGCACCCAACATGAGGCGGGGTCCTTTCCTGGCTGGAAGAGCCCGGGATGGGAGGGTCTTACCTGTGGCCACTTGGCCACACTGGCCCTGGCTGAGTCTAAACCCTGGAGGACAACCCCTCTGGCTGCTGGTCCTGAGTCACACGGGTTGGCCCTGGGAGTGTGCCAGGGACTGGGCTCTTCTCAGAAAATGGGGCTGGCATGTACTTCCCTGCCCCCTGCCAGCTGCAGGGCTGTTTGAGGGAAGAAGAGCTCACTGCTTGGTCCTGAGAGCAGGGCGAGTCCCCTCTTGGGGGGACTGTGCTTCTATAAGATGGGGAGGAGCGTTGAGGCTGAGGGGACCCTGGTAAGTGCAGTAAGGTGGATAATGGGCTTTGAGGCAGACCAAGGGGTCATTGTGGGGTCCCAAGGGACACAGAAGGGCAGTGGGGTCAGACTCCTCACTTTCATGCCATAAACATTCTGTGAACTAGCGGGGCGGTGAACGAGGGCAGCTGCCGCTGTCACGCAGCCCTCAGCACTTCTGGGGAAACTGAGCCCAGGATGGGGGCTGAGGGGCCCTTCTGGGGGTAGGTCAGATTTCATGGGTGGAAAAGGAAGGGCAGGGCGTCCTGGAGAAGGGAACATGAGACAAAGCCCTGGGAAAGGGCAGGTAGAATCCCAGGGCCAGAGGGAGCTGAGGCTGGGAAGAGGCAGCGGGGTTGGTGTGATACCGGCCCTTGGCTCTGTTCTGAGGCCAGAGGCAGCCACGCAGGACCTGTGGCTGGATGAGGTTTTGCCTCAGCTCACAGGCAGGAACTCTGGGGCGCATGTTAGGAGGGCACAGGGGCCAAGCCGGCACTGCAGCCCTCACTCCCTGATTCCTGCTGGCCTGTGCTGTCCCCAGGAGACCTCCAGTCGGAACCTGGTCACCCTGCGTGTGGACCCCAATGGTTTCTTCTTGTACTGGACGGGCCCCAACATGGTGAGAATGGGCGCTGCTGCAGCTGGCTCAGGCCGAGGGCCCCTGTCCCAGACCCCTGCCCTGCCCATGGGGGTGGGGCCCAGCTGTAGGCTGACCTCTCCCACGGCTGCCCAGACAGGAAGTGCTCAGGCCAGGAGCTCAGGCTGGGGCTGTGGCCAGGGGCTGGCCACTCCCTGGCCTGCGTGGGGAGCTTGGAGGCTCCTGGCTATGGACCTACAGCCTCTCATACCCAGCCTGGCATCTGGCACCCCCCAGGAGGTGGACACACTGGACATCAGTTCCATCAGGGACACACGGACGGGCCGGTACGCCCGCCTGCCCAAGGTGAGTGATGGAGCCCAGGACTGAAGACCACAGTGAGGTTGTGAGGCCCGGGAACCCCTCCTCACCCTTGGCTCTCACCGACTCAGGATCCCAAGATCCGGGAAGTTCTGGGCTTTGGGGGTCCCGACGCCCGGCTGGAGGAGAAGCTGATGACGGTGGTGTCTGGGCCGGACCCCGTGAACACAGTGTTCTTGAACTTCATGGCCGTGCAGGACGATACAGCCAAGGTGGGCACTGAGGGGTTGAGGGAGGAGTCACTGCCTTACTCTCTGAGGTGGCTGTCACTTACCGACACCTGCTGTGTCGAGGCTGCTCTGTGACCTACTGTGTCCCAGAGCCGGTTGCGGGCCTGGGTTGTGGCTGGGCAGCCCCTCTGTTCCCCACTCACTGCCTCCCTGTGTATACTGGCCCCCCAGGTCTGGTCCGAGGAGCTGTTCAAGCTGGCTATGAACATCCTGGCTCAGAACGCCTCCCGGAACACCTTCCTGCGCAAAGCGTGAGCCCCAGGCCACCCGAAGGGGAGCTGGGGGGTTCATGTGGCTGTTTTCAGGGTGTGACCCCTTCACCTACCTCCCCAGATACACGAAGCTGAAGCTGCAGGTGAACCAGGATGGTCGGATCCCCGTCAAGAAGTGAGCACCTCTTCCCCTAGCACCTTCCTCCTGCCCTGACCTTGGTGACCTTTGCCCGTCACTGACCCTGCACCCCCTGACCCTGCACCCCCCCCGCCTGCATCAGCATCCTGAAGATGTTCTCAGCCGACAAGAAGCGAGTAGAGACTGCGCTGGAATCCTGTGGCCTCAACTTCAACCGGGTGTGTGGAGTGGGGGTGGGGGCAGGGTGGGGTGTCACCTTCCAGGGCTGGCCGCCCCTAGGTTCTCACCCCACACTCCTTGGCCCCCAGAGTGAGTCCATCCGACCCGATGAGTTTTCCTTGGAAATCTTTGAGCGGTTTCTGAACAAGCTGTGTCTGCGGCCGGACATTGACAAGATCCTGCTGGAGATGTGAGCAGGGCCTGCCTCCCAGCCCCCGTGCTTGTCTGTGGCTTCTGCTTAGCCTGCTTCTAGCTCAGTGGGGAGAGGAGGAGCTGGTCGGCTGGGTCCTGGAGCGCCAGGGCGGGCCCGGGGAGAACCTGGCAATGTGCCCGTGCTCAAAGCCGCTGTTTGTGCCCCCTCAGTTACAGGCAGCTCTGGGCTGACCCTCTGGCAGAGTTGGTTTAATCAGCCCACTCTGCAATGTGAACCAAGGCTCAGGCGTACTGTGAGGTCTGTAAGCACTGGGTGGTGGGCTGAGCACTTGGCAGCTCCTCGCTCTGGCCATTGCCAGTGCCCACTGGTCTGCTGCCTTGACAATGCTGAGGAGTCAGGAGAGTGAAGGGAGACACTGTAGCCCAGAGCGGGCTGTGACTCACCCAGAGTCCCACTCACTGGGTGCCAGATCCAGGGGCAAGCCTTCTGACTCCCTTGCCCAGGGCCAGGGCTTGTCAAGTGGATCGGAGCCCAGTGAGGCTCCAGCCTGACCCGGCTTCCTGCGCCCTCCAGAGGTGCCAAGGGCAAGCCATACCTGACGCTGGAGCAGCTCATGGACTTCATCAACCAGAAGCAACGTGACCCGAGACTCAACGAAGTGCTGTACCCACCCCTGCGGCCCTCCCAAGCCCGGCTGCTCATTGAGAAGTATGAGCCCAACAAGCAGTTTCTGGAGCGAGGTGAGCTGGCCAGGGTGCAGGTGGGTGGGGCAGGTGGGGCCCAGCTGACCCTGCTGACCCCCTCTGACCCCAGACCAGATGTCCATGGAGGGCTTTAGCCGATACCTGGGAGGCGAGGAGAATGGTATCCTGCCCCTGGAAGCTCTGGATCTGAGTGCAGACATGACCCAGCCGCTGAGCTCCTACTTCATCAACTCCTCGCATAACACCTATCTCACTGGTGAGCGGGGGCCGGGGTGGCGCCCGTGACCTCTGCCCTCTGGCACTTGCATGGCCCACTCCTGGGGCACAGTTCTTTCACCTCATTTGCTTGTTAATTGGCCAGTGCTGGGGATGCGGGCAGCGAACAGGCAGCCGGCCCTGGGCAGTGGGGCCTCTCTGCGGCAGCATGTCTCATGGTAGCTTCCCCAGGGAAGGGCTGAGGCCTGGAACGGCCTATGTTAAGGCCTGGAGCAGGAGACTGAGGCTTTGTTTTTTTTTTTTTTTTTTTCTTTTTTTGAGAATGAGCTTCGCTCTTGTTGCCCAAGCAGGAGTGCCATAGTGTGATCTCGGCTCACCGCAACCTCTGCCTCCTGGGTTCAAGGGATTCTCCTGCCTCAGCCTCCCAAGTAGCTGGGATTACAGGCATGTGCCACCACGCCCAGCTAATTTTGTATTTTTAGTAGAGATGGGGTTTCTCCATATGGGTCAGGCTGGTCTTGAACCTCAGGTGATCCACTTGCCTTGGCCTCCCAAAATGCTGGGATTACAGGCGTGAGCCCTTGCCATGCCTAGCCTGCAAGGTGCTTTCAAGAGGTTGGAATGGGGATGGGTGCAGTGGCTCATGCCTGTATCCCAGAACTTTGAGAGGCTAAGGCAGGCTGATCCCTTGAGCCCCTGTTTTGAGACCAGCCTGGGCAACACAGTATGACCCCATCTTTACAAATAATCTTTAAAAAATTAGCTGGGTGTGGTGGTGTATGCCTGTGGTTCCAGCTGCTTGAGAGGCTGAGGTGGGAGTATCCCTTGGTTCTGGGAAGGTTGAGGCAGCAGTGAGCTATGATTGTGCCAATGCACTCCAGCCTGGGTGACAGAGTGAGACCCTTTCTCAAAAACAACAACAACAACAACAACAAAAAAATTAAAAGCAGAAAGGAAGCTGGGTAGGCACGATGCAGAGGTGGCTGGGGGTAGATGCCTGGTAAGAGAGGAGGAGCAAGGCAGAGCGAGACCCAGGGCCCAGAGGCACTCGGATTCATCCTGACTGGGAGGGAGGGGCTTTTTGGAGGCTGAAGCAGAAGAGGTGATGTGACCTGATATGATATATTTTTAGAAAGATGATGCCAGGTGCTCTATAGAGATTGGATTGAGGCTGGGTACAGTGGCTCATGCTTGTAATTCCAGCACTTTGAGAGGCTGAGGTGGGCGGTTCGCCTGAGGTCAGGAGCTCGAGACCAGCCTGGCCATCATGGTGAAACCCCATCTCTATTGAAAATACAAAAATTAGACCATCCTGGTCAACATGGTGAAACCCCGTCTCTACTAAAAATACAAAAACATTAGCTGGGCATGGTGGCACGTGCCTGTAATCCCAGCTACTCGGGAGGCTGAGGCAGGAGAATTGCCTAAACAGGCGGAGGTTGCGGTGAGCCGAGATCGCGCCATTGCACTCCAGCCTGGGTAACAAGAGCGAAACTCCGTCTCAAAAAAAAAAAAAAAAAAAAAAAAAGAGAAAATACAAAAATTACCCAGGCGTGGTAGTGGGTGGGTGCCTGTAATCCCAGCTACTCAGGAGGATGAGGCAGGAGAATCTCTTGAACCCAGGAGATGGAGGATGGAGGTTGCAGTGAGCCGAGATTGTGCCAGTGTTCTCCAGCCTGGGAGACAGCAAGACACAGTCTCTAAAGAAATAAAAAAAGAAAGAGGCCGGGCGCAGTGGCTCTCACCTGTAATCCCAGCACTTTGGGAGGCTGAGGCAGGTGAATCACCTGAGGTCGGGAGTTTGAGACCAACGTGATCAACATGGAAAAACCCCATCTCTACTAAAAATACAAAATTAGCTGGGAGTGGTAATGCGTGCCTGTAATCCCAGCTACTCAGGAGGCTGAGGCAGGAGAATCCTTTGAACCTGGGAAGTGGAGGTTGCAGTCAGCCAAGATCACACCATTGTACTCCAGCCTGGGCAACAAGAGCAAAACTCTGTCTCAAAAAAAAAAAAAAAAAGAAAGAATAAAAAGAAAAGAGATTGGACTGGAGGCAGGGAGGCCTGGAGTATTCCACACAGGAGGTGGTGTGAGCTGTGCCAGGGCTGAGGTGGGTGGAGGGAGCGAGGAGAGGGAGGGGTTGCTGGGGCAGTGGGGAGCTGTAGTGAGCCTCAGGATGACTCCCACAGCTCGCTCTGGTGGGATGGGCAGGTGGGTATGCATCTGAGAGAGGGAGAGCCCCCTGCGAACCCAGCATGGCCTGTTTTGGGTGGGGACGGGGTGGTAAGGAGCTGGGCTGGTGGGCAGCCTTGGTGATGGAGCCTCCCCCGCAGCGGGGCAGCTGGCTGGGACCTCGTCAGTGGAGATGTACCGCCAGGCCCTGCTCTGGGGCTGCCGCTGCGTGGAGCTGGACGTGTGGAAGGGGCGGCCGCCCGAGGAGGAGCCCTTCATCACCCATGGCTTCACCATGACCACGGAGGTGCCTCTGCGAGACGTGCTGGAGGCCATTGCTGAGACTGCCTTCAAGACCTCTCCCTACCCCGTCATCCTCTCCTTTGAGAACCACGTGGATTCGTGAGTGAGCCCCTGGCCGGGACCCTGGGACCCCATGACCCCGGGGACAGCCCTCCCACCTCAGCGCTGTCGGACTCCTCCAGGACCTCCGACCCTGTGAACCGCCACTGACATGTCCCGTAGACCCCAGCTTCCCCTGGGGACCTCTGAATTCTGACCTTGGCTCCGCAGGGCAAAGCAGCAGGCAAAGATGGCCGAGTACTGCCGCTCCATCTTTGGAGATGCGCTGCTTATCGACCCTCTGGACAAGTACCCGGTACGGAGGCTTGGAGCCAGAGTGGGCGTGTAGGGGCCAGGGTGGGGGCGTGGGGGCCAGGGTGGGGGCTGCAGACCCAGTCCAAGGCCCTGACCCATCCATTCCTGCCCAGCTGGCCCCAGGCGTCCCTCTGCCCAGCCCCCAGGACCTGATGGGCCGAATCCTGGTGAAGAACAAGAAGCGGCACCAGCCGAGCACCGGCGGCCCAGACAGTGCCGGGCGCAAGCGGCCACTGGAGCAGAGCAACTCGGCCCTGAGCGAGAGCTCCGCCACCACCGAGCCCTCCTCCCCGCAGCTTGGTAGGCCCCGGCCCGGCCTGGGACCATGACCCGACCCTAGCCTCTGGCCTTATGCTCTAGGCACGGTGCCACTTCAACCCTGATGCCCAGCCCACCCTCCCATAGACCCACGGACCTGTCCCCCCTCTCTGCGCCTGTCCCCACACCCGGCCTCTCCTACCGTAGCCTGTCGGCTGACCTCAAATGCGTGCCTCACTGAGCGGCACCCCCACTCCTGACTCCCAGCCTCGGCCTCTCACCCCTCAGAGCCTCCCCACAAGCCCGTGATGGCTCTGAAGGCTGACCTCTGACCTCGGTGAACCACGTCCCACCCCTTGTGCGTGACCTCCGACCCCTGAGCCCCCACTGAATCGACCCGCCCAGTTGGTTATCATTTCAGCTGACCTCTGACCTCTCACTCCTGACTATTCACCTCACTGTGCCCCCTCCTTGGACACGGCTCTGACTGACCCCTGACCTATAACCCTGCTGTGTCATCCCTAACCCCACTGTCAAGGCTGTGGTTCCCAACTTCCTGACTTCTCACCCCACTGAGCCACCGTACCTCCCAGCTGAATACCACCCTAGACCTTCACCTTTGACCTATGACCCCTCTCAACCCCTGCTCGGTTCGATACTGTCAGACCCCTGACCTCTTGGCCTCTCTGCCAGCCACACTGCCCTGGAATACCCTGTGACGTCCCCACCGAGTCACCTTGGCACACACTGGGAACTCCAGGCCTCCTGAGCAGACATGTGGTCCTGACCCCTGACCCTGTGGCCCTGTCCTCTGCAGGGTCTCCCAGCTCTGACAGCTGCCCAGGCCTGAGCAATGGGGAGGAGGGGGTGCTCGAGAAGCCCAGCCTGGAGCTTCAAAAATCTTTGGGCGAGGAGGGCCTGAACCGGGGCCCCTATGCTCTTGGACCTGCTGACCGTGAGGAGGAGGAGGAAGATGAGGAAGAAGAGGAACAGACAGACCCCAAAAAGCCAACCACAGATGAGGTGAGGCCCACAGGGTGGGCAGGTGGGGAAGGTAGCATCTTCCCCATCTCCACTGGGGCTGGGTCTGACCGTCCACAAGACTGACGTCACCCCTGCCTCCTGGGGCTCAGTGTGGGTGTGAGGGAAGGTGGAAGGAGGGGTCCTTAGCATCAGGCGTGTAAACAGGTATTCAGTTCTGCTGCTGGCGTGGCCCAGGGGGCGTGAGTTAGCATACAGAACTGGCAGAGGTCAGGGAGCCTGCTGGGCAGGGAGGTGGGCCAGGCCGGCATCAGGAAGTGGGACAGCATGTGCAAAGGCCCTGTGGCAGGGCCAGTGGGTGCAGGAGTGGGGAGCGTTGTCATGGGAAGCATTGAAGAGCTGTGAGGAGTGGTACAGAAAAACTCAGTCTGAGCCGGGTGTGGCGGCTCCTGCCTCTAAGCCCAGCTACTCGGGAGGCAGAGGCATAAGAATTGCTTGAACCTGGGAGGTGGAGGTTGCAGCGAGCTGAGATCGTGCCACTGCACTCCAGCCAGGGAGACTGTGCCTCAAAACAAAACAAAACAGACATTGCTATAAAGACAATCACTGGGGCAATTAGTGAAATTTAAAGATGGACTAGATATTAGATAATATGTTAATGTTTTGTTTCCTGAATTGAATTATTGTACTGGAGTTATATAAGAGAATGTCCATACATGCTGAAGTATTTATGGGTAAAGGGTATGATGTCTGCAGTTTACTCCCAAATGATTCAGCAAAAGTAGTGATAATTGTAATGCCTATATAGGCCAAGTGAGGTGGCTCACGCCTGTAATCCTAGCACTTTGGGAGGCCGAGGTGGGAGGCTTGTCTGAGGTTGGGAGTTCAAGACCAGCCTGGCCAACATGGTGAAACCCCATCTCTACTAAAAATACATAAATTAGCCTGTCAAGATGGTGGCCACCTGTAGTCCCAGCTACTTGGGAGGCTGAGGCAGGAGAATTGCTTGAGCCGGGGAGGAAGCGGAGGCTGCAGTGAGATTGCATCATTGCATTCCATCCTGAAAGACGCAAGAGCAAGACTCTGTCTCAAAAAAAAAAAAAAAAAAAAAAATCGTGGCCGGGCGCGGTGGCTCAAGCCTGTAATCCCAGCACTTTGGGAGGCCGAGGTGGGTGGATCACGAGGTCAAGAGATCGAGACCATGCCGGTCAACATAGTGAAACCCCGTCTCTACTAAAAATACAAAAAATTAGCTGGGCATGGTGGCACGTGCCTGTAATCCCAGCTACTCAGGAGGCTGAGGCAGGAGAATTGCCTGAACCCAGGAGGCGGAGGTTGCGGTGAGCCGAGATCGCGCCATTGCACTCCAGCCTGGGTAACAAGAGCGAAACTCCATCTCAAAAAAAAAAAAAAAAAAAAAAAAAAGTCAGTCTGGCTGTCATAAGAGGTCAGATCTGAGAGGAGCCCAGAGGAGGGAAGGTCCTGGTGAGGGGTGCCCAGAAGTCACCGTTGGAAGGGCTGAGTTTGAGGATCCTGTGAGCCACCTGAGAGGAGGCGGCAAGGTGGGGGCTAGGGATGGATGTGACTGAACCCCTGGGTGCAGGGGTGACGGGCTCCAGCCTCTGAGGATCAGGGAGAAGAGAAGTGGCTGGGCGGCGTCCAGGGTGCATCAGTGGGACCCTGGGGAGAAGTGTGGGCACCACCAGCAGTGATGGGAAGAGGGTCAGCGTCTCCTTCATGGGGGGCAGGTGAGGGACTGTCCCCTGTGGTGGGAGTGGCACTGCCGACCCTGGATTGGGGCCCACAGGGCACAGCTAGCAGCGAGGTCAATGCCACTGAGGAGATGTCCACGCTTGTCAACTACATCGAGCCTGTCAAGTTCAAGTCCTTTGAGGCTGCTCGAAGTGAGTAGGGGTGGGTGGCGGGTGTGGGGGCTTGCCTGGCTCATCCCTGCCAGGCCTGACGCCCTCTCCTGGCTCACCCCGCAGAGAGGAACAAATGCTTCGAGATGTCATCCTTCGTGGAGACCAAGGCCATGGAGCAGCTGACCAAGAGCCCCATGGAGTTTGTGGAGTATCCTTTCAAGGCGCCATGGGCGGGCAGGCCAGGGTGGGGCGCCCGGAGTGTCCTGTGTCTGCGTGCGCCTCCTGCACAGGCTGCTGGCCATCCTGCGGTCTTCCTGCACCCTGGCCTAGGGCTTGGGCAGGTCCAGGCAGTCTCAGGGGGATGGTGAGGCTGAGAAACGGAGGAGCTGGATGTTGGGGGTCATAGGAGCACCTGGCTGAGGCTGGAGGTGGAGGCTAACAGCGTGGGCCCTGGCACCCGTGTGGCCCCTGACCACCAACCTCAGATACAACAAGCAGCAGCTCAGCCGCATCTACCCCAAGGGCACCCGCGTGGACTCCTCCAACTACATGCCCCAGCTCTTCTGGAACGTAGGGTGCCAGCTTGTCGCGCTCAACTTCCAGACCCTGGGTGAGCCCTGGGCCCCCTCTGTCTTGACCCTGACCCTCAGTCTTGCTGACTTCTGACCCATGATGCTGCTGGTCTTGCCTGAACGGACCTCTGACCCTGTCTAATCCCAGATTCCAGGCAAACCCAGCACCCGACTCACCCCGCCTCCTGCCCTTGACTGACGCCAGGCCCCGCCCCTGTCTGGTCTGCCCTGGATCCGGACCCCCATACCATTTGAACCCACCCCTGACCCTGGGCCTTGGACGCCATCTGACCCCTGACAATCTCCCATTCCTCCACATGGCACCGTCCTGCCGGATGCCTGCCCTGCTTGACCTGCTCCCACTGCCCCAGATGTGGCGATGCAGCTCAATGCGGGCGTGTTCGAGTACAATGGGCGCAGCGGGTACCTGCTCAAGCCGGAGTTCATGCGGCGGCCGGACAAGTCCTTCGACCCCTTCACCGAAGTCATCGTCGATGGCATCGTGGCCAATGCCTTGCGGGTCAAGGTGTGGCCTGGGAGGGCTCAGGCCGGGGGTGTCCTTGGGGCAGGCGTCTCGCAGCGGCCTCACCCTCCCTGCCCCGCCCCCCCAGGTGATCTCGGGGCAGTTCCTGTCCGACAGGAAGGTGGGCATCTACGTGGAGGTGGACATGTTTGGCCTCCCCGTTGACACGCGGCGCAAGTACCGCACCCGGACCTCTCAGGGGAACTCCTTCAACCCCGTGTGGGACGAGGAGCCGTTCGCCTTCCCCAAGGTGAGCCTGGCGCCCTTGCCCACCCAGGCACAGGCAGATCTAGTTCCGACTGCCCCGACTCTCAGGTGGGAGAACAGGAACCAGGCAGGCTGTTGGTGACTGGGGATCAGACAAGTGGGGGGCGCCTGGGGTCTCCCAGGACCTGCCTGTCCCAGCGTCAGGCTCCCTGTCCTCCTCAGGGGAAGAGACAAGCATGAGGTGAGATGGGGGTGGTGGAGTGCCAGCTAGAGGTCTTGTGTCCCCTACAAGGAGTGGACACAGCCTGCCCATCTCCGAGGCAGGAGCTGAGGTCACAACCCCAAGCTCACGTCTGCTCTTCCACACCTCCCACAGCCCCGCGTGCACGCAGCCTCTGTTCCCAACCTGGGTGGTGTGTTCGCAGCTTCCCACTCATGGCTCAGGCCGTCTCTAAACTGGCGATGACCAGAGCTGCCTGTAGAGGCCCTACGGGCCCGGGTGCCTGTCATCTTGCCGCAGGGTCCTGATAGCTGCAGTCATCTACGAGGCCAGGCTGTGGAGGTGGGGTCAGCTCTCAGCTCAGTGGCGATGGTGACTGATGGTCAGTGGGTCAGCTCAGCTGAAGATCTGCTCTGTTCGGCTTTGACCGCTGTGGCTAGCTGTGGCCGGCGGCCACCGTGATCTGGGGTCGGCCCCGTGGCTCAGCTCCGGTCTGGCCTGCAGGTGGTGCTGCCCACGCTGGCTTCGCTTCGCATCGCAGCCTTTGAGGAGGGCGGCAAATTCGTGGGGCACCGGATCCTGCCTGTCTCTGCCATCCGCTCCGGTGAGGCCTTGGTGGGCTCTGGGCAGCACAGCAGGCAGCGGGTGGGGCCCCGTCGGACCCAGCAACCCAACGTTGCCCTCCTGCCCACCCAGGGTACCACTACGTCTGCCTGCGGAACGAGGCCAACCAACCGCTGTGCCTGCCGGCCCTGCTCATCTACACCGAGGCCTCGGACTACATTCCGGACGACCACCAGGGTGAGCCAGGGGTTGGGGGCCAGACTGGCCAGGGAGGGTGAGGGACAAGGCCATCCTCAGGGCCCGGCAGTGGCCGAGCTGGGTGGTCCCAACTGAGTGGTGGGTGAACAGACCCAGGACAAGTTCCGCAATTCCTCACTGAGACCAGGGCTGGTGGGCGGGGTGCGGCTTGGGGGGCTCCGTCTCTGAAACCCTGGCCTTCTGCCTCCCCCCAGACTACGCGGAGGCCTTGATCAACCCCATTAAGCACGTCAGCCTGATGGACCAGAGAGCCCGCCAACTGGCTGCCCTCATTGGTGAGAGTGAGGTGAGCCGGGTCCGGGCAGGGCCTAGGCTTGCTGTGACCCAGGGGGCCGCTGGACATGACAGCTGTGGCCACGTGGCATGGGAGCTTCCGGTCTCTCTAGCTCAGTAAGCTTGGCAGCCCTGGGATTTTGAGGAGATGAAAACCCCCCCTTTCCATTCAGGAGGCCTTCAGGTCAGACCTGGGCTGGAATTCCTCCGACTCCACGCAGGCTCCGCATGGGGGTCCAGGGGTCCCAGCCACTGCGTCAGGGCACTTCGAAGCCACAGAAGCTGCTCAGACGTGGGGTCCTGGGAGCCATGAGGAGGGCCGTGGCCTCCGTGGGGAGGGGTCAGGCGCAGAGGTTCACCTGCGCTTCCAGACCCAGTCCCCCGGGGCCTGCGGCAGGCGGGCAGGGAGAGATGGCTGCAATTAGGGCTGCCTGGAGCTGTTAGCGGAGAGGCTGGTGCCCACTCTGCGGTCTCATCCTTTGTTGATTTAATCAGGAGCTGAGAAGCAAGGAAAACGAGCGACTGTAGGCAAGGGTGGAGGACGTGAGCAGGAGGGGAGAGGAGGCTCGGGACTTGCTCAGGCCTTTCCAGAACAATCTGGGAGTTCCTGAGCACAGGCAGTGGCTGCCGTTACGTTATCTTCCCCACAGCCCATGTGGAAAAGGGGCTCAGAAAGGCATGATCTATACCTCTCCTCTGCAGGTGCCCAGACAGCCTCCTGTCACAAAGGAGCCCAGCAGTTGGGCTAAGGGAGGCTGATGGGGGTGCTGGGGGCCCCGGGGGGCGGTGGTGGAGAACAGAAGGGCCCAGAGGCAACAGCATTCTGGAAAGAGCATTCTCCTTTCTCCCCGTAGGCTCAGGCTGGCCACGAGACATGCCAGGACACCCAGTCTCAGCAGCTGGGGTCTCAGCTGTCCCCAAACCCCAGTCCTAGCCCACTGGATGCTTCCCCACGCCGGCCCCCCGGCCCTGCCACCTCCCCTACCAGCGCCTCTCTGAGCAGCCCAGGTAAGGAGCAGCCCGGCCAGGGGTGGGCCGAGGGGAGGTGCCCCACTGCCCTGGCCTCCAGCTCCTCACCAGGCCTCTGCTCCCCAGGGCAGCGCGACGATCTCATCGCCAGCATCCTCTCAGGTAGGGGCGGGGTACTGGCGGCAGGAGGGTGCAGTGGCTACCCTGCAGGTCGGCCTGACCCGGTCCTGTTCCCCTTCCCCCCGCCCACCTTTGCTTTGCCACTCCCAGAGGTGGCCCCCACCCCGCTGGACGAGCTCCGAGGACACAAGGCTCTGGTCAAGCTCCGGAGCCGGCAGGAGCGAGAGCTTCGGGAGCTGCGCAAGAAGCATCAGCGGAAGGCGGTCACCCTCACCCGCCGCCTGCTGGATGGCCTGGCTCAGGCACAGGCGGAGGGCAGGTGCCGGCCGCGGCCAGGTGCCCTGTGAGTGTCTGGCCTGGCTGGGTGCTGGGTGTGTTGGGTGTGCTGATGTGAACATGGGGGTCGCTGGGCATGCAGATGGCAAGAGCCGCTCCTCGACCCCCAGGGAGGAGGGTTCAGTGCAAGGGCAGAGGAGGCTCCACACCAGGCCCCTGGTGGCCCCCGGGGAGTGACGTCTCTTTTGAAGTCCCCCATGAGGAGCTTGTTGCCCAAACAGGCTCCCTTCACTTGGGTGGTGCTAACGGCCTCCTGGTTTGCATAACAGGCCATCGCCTGTGGGATGAGCCCTCCCTCACACCCTCCCCATCCCAGTCCCATGTGGCGGACCCAAGGGTCACCCAGAGGGGTTCTACTCGCAGAGGTGGGGCTGCTGAAGAGGACTCAAAGGAGGGGGAGGACGAGGCGAAGCGCTATCAGGAGTTCCAGAGCAGACAGGTGCAGAGCCTACTGGGGCTGCGGGAGGCCCAGGCGGACGCAGAGGCGCGGCGGAGGCTGGAGCACCTGAAACAGGTCAGGGGTCCTCAGTGGCCAGGGAAAGCCTCCTGGATAGACCTGTCACAGCCCAGCGTCACCCATCGGGTCCCCTGCGTCCACAGGCTCAGCAGCGGCTCAGGGAGGTCGTCCTTGATGCAAACACGACTCAGTTCAAGAGGCTGAAGGAGACGAACGAGAGGTGAAGGGCGAGGATGGTCAATGGGGGGCTCTGGGCGCCAGGAGGAGGGCGGAGTCTGTGCTGCCGCTGCTGACCGCTCCTCTTCCCCTGCCGGCTTCTCCAGGGAGAAGAAGGAGCTGCAGAAGATCCTGGACAGAAAGCGCCACAACAGCATCTCGGAGGCCAAGACAAGGGACAAGCATAAGAAGGAGGTGTAAGGGCACCTGGGCCGGGGCCGTGTGGGCACTGGGGAGGCAGGGCGGGTGTCTGGGCCATTTGGGTATTTGGGGGGACAGGGAGGGTGTCTGGGGCATATGGGTATTTTCGGGGGCAGGGCAGGTGCCTGGGGCATTTGGGTATTTGGGGGGGCAGGGCGGGTGCCTGGGGCATTTGGGTATTTGGGGGGCAGGGCGGGTGCCTGGGGCATTTGGGTATTGGGGGGCAGGGCGGGTGCCTGGGGCATTTGGGTATTGGGGGGGCAGGGCGGGTGCCTGGGGCATTTGGGTCTTTGGGGGGGCAGGGCGGGTGCCTGGGGCATTTGGGTCTTTGGGGGGGCAGGGCGGGTGCCTGGGGCATTTGGGTCTTTGGGGGAGCAGGGCGGGTGCCTGGGCGCCGAGCCATCCTGCGTTGCTCCTGTGCAGGGAACTGACAGAGATTAATCGTCGGCACATCACTGAGTCTGTCAACTCCATCCGTCGGGTGAGTCAGGCTCCAGGCCCACCCTACCCCACCTCCCTTCCTTCACTCATCAGACACTGGTCTCCATGCCTGGCCTGGTGCCATGTTGCCCTCCAGGTTCTTCTAGAACCTTTCCCGAATACCCAACAGCCCCAGGGTGCCCACATCATACCCAGAGCCAGCTGTCTGCATCAGCGTCCCTGGCTTTGGTGTCCTCGGGCCCGGTCCTGTCACAGCCCTGTTACACCACCCTGGGAGCCTTTGGCCACCCGACTTTTTATTTCTCTTTGAGACAGAGTCTTGGTATGTCGCCCAGGCTGGAGTGCAGTTGTGTGATCTCAGCTCACTGCAACCTCCGCCTTCTGGGTGCCTCAGCCTCCCGAGTAGCTGGGATTACAGACATGTGCCACCACGGCCGGCTGATTTTTGTATTTTTAGTAGAGATGGGATTGCACCATGTTGGTCAGGCTGGTCTCGAACTCCTGACCTCAGGGGACCCGCCTGCCTCAGCCTCCCAAAGTGCTGGAATTACAGGCGTGAGGCCACTGTCCCTGGCCTTGCCCCCCTGGCTTCTATACCCAGCCAAAGCCCCGAGGCCCGAGCCCCTCCCTCAGGGCCCCTCAGCTGAGCCCTTGCCCACCCCTGTAGCTGGAGGAGGCCCAGAAGCAGCGGCACGACCGTCTTGTGGCGGGCCAGCAGCAGGTTCTGCAACAGCTGGCAGAAGAGGAGCCCAAGGTAAGGCCACAGGCGAGCAGGAGGGCAGGCGGGCAGGCGGGGTGCAGGGCAGCCAGGCCTCCCTGTGACCATCCTCCTCCCACAGCTGCTGGCTCAGCTGGCCCAGGAGTGTCAGGAGCATCGGGCAAGGCTGCCCCAGGAGATCCGCCGGAGCCTGCTGGGCGAGACGCCAGAGGGGCTGGGGGACAGGCCTCTGGTGGCCTGTGCCAGCAACGGTCACGCACCCGGGAGCAGCGGGCACCTGTCGGGTGCTGACTCGGAGAGCCAGGAGGAGAACACGCAGCTCTGAAGTGGCTGAGCACGAGGTGGCCGCAGGGCCAGGGTGGGCACTGGGGGGAGGGCAGGAGGCAACGACACTAAGCCTTTTTTTTTTTTTTTTTTTTTTTAACTTTTTATCTCTAGAAATTTTATTTTTTTAAACCCGGGGCAAGTACCTCAGCTAACTCCCTTCATCCTCCTGGGGCCCCTCCTTCCTGCCCTGAGTTCTCGGTTGGGGCCCTGCTCAGGGCCTTGCTCCCCATGACACCCACACCCTCGAGCTTTCGGCGTCTCCTTCCCTTCCCGGGAGAGCTGGCCAGAGACGCGGGGCTCCGGGAAGTAGGAGTCACATTTTTTCTCTACTCTTTGGGGATTTTTTTACATGAATAAAAGTGGATTTCAGGGACTTTGTGTGCAGTGTGATTTGGGGTGAGAGGGCTCTGGGCCCTAAGTTTCCTCATCTATGAAATGGGCTTCAGCCCTTTGGTGGGGTTGAGGTCATGCCTCCAGCAAAGGGCTGCTGGTTGAACCCGAGCCTGCCCTGCCGAGCCTGCCAGCGTCTGTGGCCTTCCTCTGCCTGTGCTTTCTGCCTCCAGGCCACTGTTCCTGTTCCCACTCCCCATGACTTTCTTCCCTCCAAGGCTCTCCCTGCTCTCTCTTCGTTGAGGCTCAGGCCTCTGCTTCAGGAAGCCTTCCCTGCCCCCTTTCCTGTGGCCTGATATGACCCAAACGCCTAGCATCTTCCGCCCCGGCTGCTCTGGGCCCCCAACAGGCAGCTGACTCTATTGGGTGACAGATCGGCCGGGGTGGAGCAGGGCAGAGAACCTGCCCCACACTAGGGGGCCCGGGCTTTCAGAGAGAGGTGGGCAGTAGGCCTGCCTGCGACGCGGGCGGAAGGGAAGCGGACAGTCAGACATGCAGGGGCTGGGCCACCTGGCATCCCCTCATCCCTGTGAGGGAGATGTTGTGCCTGTTTTACAGATGAGGAGACTGAGGCCCGGAGCCATCTCTCGTGTGCCAGGCCACAGCTCAGTCAAGACGTCCTGACCTGGAGGCAGGGCAGGCCTGGACCCTCCGTGGTGGACTGTCTTCGGCCAACCTGGACCTGTCCCGTGCCTCGGGACCAGCGAAGAGTGGCGGAGCGCCCACAGCGAGGGCTCAAGGGTGGGGCCGGCTCCCAGCAGGGTCGGCCTGGCACCTCTTCAAGGCCTCTCCCAGCTTCCTGGCGCTTCCCAGGCTGCCCGCCTGCATCCCTCCTCCAGGGGAAGGCGGCCTCTTATCTGGGCTTATCTCCTGCCAATTGAGTATTTTCTTTGCTTTGTTTTTGCTGCGGCCTCAAACAGACGGGGTGGGGAGGCCAGGGAAACAGGCTCCAGAGTAGGGCCCTCCCTCAGGGTCAATGCCACGGCCACGGCCCCGGCCTTCCTCACCTCTGCTGTGGGACCCGGCCCTGCCCACTCCAGTGTATTCCGTATCCAGGGCCCTTAGCAGCCGACTCCCATCTCCCTGACTCTGGCTGGTGTCCACTGAGGGACGCACTCCAAATCAGTTCCTGGGTCCTCAATTACCAGCTAAATTGCTAACTCCTGGGTGTGACATTCCAGCCTCTCAGAAGCCTGGCCTCTGCGGCTCCCCCATCCTTCCGTGGGTCCACTCTTCCCCGCGCGCCGGGAGGGATGATCACCCCCCTCCCCCACCTCACCTTCAGGTCGCAGCTCTAGCCGCCTCCTTCCTGAAGCCCTCCCTGACTGTCCCTCCGACTCAGGGAGCTTGGGCGCTTCCACGAGCAGAGCCGTGGCGCAACCCATCTCTGTACCCAGCACCAAGCACCGACCCGGGCTATGGGGGGCGCCAATAAATCTTTCTGGAACGGAGCCCCCGGTCTGTCCGGGTCCCCGCGTGAAGCCTCGGTTTCCAATGACCACCCTGCTCCCAGTCCAGCTCCGCTACTCCCTCGCGCCCCGCGCGTCCCGTCCCCGGGCAGCGCTGGCCCTAGGCCGGCCACACAGTAGCTGCTGGCAAGGGCTGACCCAAATAGGAGCCAGTGACTCTCCCTGGGAGGCCGCAGCACCGTTTGCACAGCGCGGGATCGGGTGGCCGGCAGCGTGGCGGGGCCAAAGCGCGTGCTGGGCACTTGGACCTGGGCCGCGCAGCCTTGGCCCGCGAGCCGCCCCGATCCCTTCCGTCTCTGTCGCTGGGTGTCAGGCAAAGCCTCAGTTTCCCTCGTAAGACAACCGCCTCTTTTGAAAGTATCCGTGAGAGCGCTACCCCGGCCCGCGGAGCCCCAGTCGATGCACAGAGAAGCTTCGGCGGCACAGACAGGGGCTTTATTAACATTTGGTAGCGAGCGCGGCCCGCGGGGCATCGCGGGGGGGGGGGGGGTCTGTCGCGGTGACGCAACGGAGAAGCCAGGTTCGCGCCTAGGCTCAGGAGCCTGGGGGCAGCCCGGTACCGAAGGGCGGGGCCCCGGAGCCACTTCCGGGGGCTTCGGGCGGAAAACGCAATACTTCCGATGGGACCAAGCCTTCCGCGGCTTCACACGCACCGGAAGGGAATCTGGGTCAGCCCTCCCTCCGAAAGAGACAGCACGGATCCTCTTTTTGCATAAGGCCTGCAGGAAGCACTTCCGCCCATGTCCAAGATGGCCGCCCAGGGCGATGGGAGCGGGTAGAGTTTCGGGATGTGGAGCGAAGGTCACTGGGAGGGAGCGGAGCCTCCCCTGCCCAAGTTCCGATCCCACCAGGACTGGATGACTCGCGTCCAGCTGGAGCTTTGCCGCATCTGCGTTGCTGTGCCCGCGCTCTTCGGGCGAGGAAGTCCCTTCCGGGTGTGGGGAGAAAAGGGTTACATGAGTTAGATTACCAGGGCGGCTGGAGCCAGACCGTCCACTTCCGTGACCCCTCCTCTGAGATCCGGGGGAGATAATGAAGGCCACAACTTCCAGCAGGCTTCAGGCTGGGTGGTCGGGGACGTCTGGCAGGACGCATGGGCCCTTAGGAATGGGGACTGGTTAGATCCCAGGAACTCCGTGCTGGGGACGGGAAGAGAGGATACCTAGGGCCCTAAATGGAAACGTCAGAGCTGGAAACTTAGCACTCAGAAGATGGACTGCAATTCAAGAATTAAAGGGCCGGGAGCCTCCGGTGGTGAGCGCCTGTAATCCTATCACTTTGGGAGGTTGAGGCGGGAGGATTGAGGCCAGGAGTTCCAGGCTGCGGTGAGCCATGATCGCACCACTGCACTCCAGCCTGGGCGACAGAGCATCCAGGTGCCAGCCAGGAGCACAAATACCAGCATGCCTGGCCCTCCGAAAATGCAGGGAACCCAGGAGCTTTGGCCTGGAGCGGGATCTAGACTACAGATCCCAGGAGTCCCGCCTGCCCGGGGATTCGGAAGGGAAGAGCTAGGGGGTGGGGGTAAGATCCTGTGACTACAGATCCCAGAATGCTCTGGAGCTAGGAAGGGACCGGGCGGCGATGGGGAGGGGTCGTGGGACCAGATCCGGGCGTGCCTTGGGACTAGGAAAGAACAGACCGGCGGGGGGCGTCCTGGGACTGCAGGTCTTGGCACGCTGGGGACCGGCGCTCACCTTGAAGGAGTCCACAAACTCGTCACTCATCCTCCGGAGCTCGCGGCCATATCGCTGTGCTGCCCAGAGGTTGGGGGGTGCCGAGCGCGAACGGCCCCGAAAAGGGCTGGGCTCCTCCTCCATCCCTTCGTCCCCCTCCGTCCCTGCGGGGTACGAGCTGTGGCGACTCCGTGTCTCCACGGCTCCAGCGCCTACAGAGGATCAGTGGGTAAAGGGAGACATTAATCTCAGCTCTTCTAAGCCCCTGGCCCTGCCTGAACCCTCCCCGTCATCTCTGCAGGCGCCCTCGTGGGTCTTCCAGGGACGCATCGCAGCCCACCTCTCAGGGGCCTTTGGTGACGATTCAGGTTAACTTCCCATTAATCCCACGAATCCTTACTGAGTGCCAGCAATGAATGAAGCGCTATGCCCAGCACAAAATAGGGGATAAGAAATACTAGCTACTCCTGGGCGCGGTGGCTCACGCCTGGAATCCCAGCCCTTTGAGGGCAAGGCGGGCGGATCAGCTGAGGTCAAGAGTTCGAGACCAGCCTGAACAACATGGAGAAACCCTGTCTTTACTAAAAATACAAATATTAGCCGGGTGTGATGGCGCATGCCTGTAATCCCAGCCACTCGGGAGGCTGAGGCAGGAGAATTGCTTGAACCCGGGAGGCGGAGGTTGAGGTGGGCCAAGATCACACCATTGCACTCCAGCCTGGGCAACAAGAGGGAAACTCCATTTCGAAAAAAAAAAAAAAAAAGAAAAGAAAAAAAGAAAACTAGTTACAATTATTAGTGCAGAACCTTTATGGGGTCTCCTGGCAACTCCTGGGTTGGTAGCTATTTCAGCGTGTCTATTTTACATCAGAGGAAGCCAATCCCTTGAACAGGAAGGTGTCCTGCCACAGCTGGCAGGACTGAATGCCAGCTCTGCAAGGGACCTGCAGAGGCCCCTGGAGAAGAAGGACCTGTCTGCTACATGTCTGCACCCCTCACAGCGCCTGCTCTGGAGGCGGTGTCTGGAACTGTCTGTCGACGTTTTTAGGTACCGCTGATGAAGCACTTAGGTGTAGGTCAAGACATTCCTTCATTATCCTCCTAACCACCCTGGGGGAGAGCACGAACGTGCTTAGGTGAGGAGACAGCAGCTCAGAGAGTTAAGCCTTGCCCAGTTTCTGTGAGGCCTGAGGCTGGAAGGTTCCAAAGGTTTGGTGGAATCCAGAGTCCACTGATTATCAGCTGAGCTCCGTGTCTCTCCCCTTGTCTAGCCAGCCTTCGACTCTCTGAGCCTGTGTCCTCACCTTGTTGAGGGGACAATCCTAGCCCTGAGTCCCAGTGGCTGTATAAAGGTCAGTCACATAAAATAAAAAATGTGAAAGTGCTTTGTGGCTGGGCAGGATACCGCACGCCTGTAATCCCAGCACTTTGGGAGGCCAAGGCAGGCAGATGGCTTAAGTCCAGGAGTTCGAGAGCAGCCTGGGCAACATTGCAAAACCCTGTCTCTATTAATTTAAAAAATAATAATAATAATAATAATAATAAAAGAAGGCCAAGCGGGGTGGCACACCTGTAATCTCAGCATTTTGGGAGGCCGAGGTGGGTGGATCACCTGAGGTCAGGAGTTTGAGGCCTTGAACTCGGTGAAACCCTGTGTCTACTAAAAATACAAATACTAGCCAGGCATGGTAGTTCACACCTGTGGTCCCAGCTACTCAGGAGGCTGAAGCAGGAGAAACGCTTGAATCCAGGGGTGGAGGTTGCAGTGATGCAGAGTGAGACTCTGTCTCAAAATAATAAAGTGCTCTCTAGGCTGCAAGTACTCTATGGGTTATTATTCAGAGGTGCGCCTACTGTGGTCTGTTTGGGTGCTTTTTTTTTTTTTTTTTTTTTGAGACGAAGTTTGGCTCTTGCCCAGGCTGGAGTGCAATGGCCCGGTCTCAGCTCAACGTAACCTCCACGTCTCATGTTAAAGCGATTCTCCTGCCTCAGTCTCCTGAGTAGCTGGGATTACAGGCATGTGCCATCACACCCGGTTAATTTTGTATTTTTAGTGGATATTTGGTAGGGCTGGTCTGGAACTCCCGACCTCAGGTGATCGCCAGCCTTAGCCTCCCAAAATGCTGGTCAAAGTTTGAGACCAGCCTGACCAACATGGTGAAACCCTGTCTCTACTAAAAATACAAAAATTAGCCAGGTGTGGTGGCATGAGCCTGTAATCCCAGGTACTCAGGAGGCTGAGGCAGGAGAATCACTTGAACCCGGGAGGCGAAGGTTGCAGTGAGATGAGATCATGCCACTGCACTCCAGCCTGGGCAACAGAGCAAGACTCCATCTCAAAAAAACAAAACAAAACAAAATTAGCTGGGAGTGGTGGCATGCACCTGTAGTCCCAGCTACTCAAGAGACTGAGGCACAAGAATTGCTTGAACCTGGGAGGCAGAGGTTGCTGCGAGCTGAGATCTCACCATTGCACTCCAGCCTGGGAGACAGAGTCAGAGTGAGACTCTGTCTCAAAAAAAAAAAAAAAAAAAAAAGGCCGGGCGTGGTGGCTCAAGCCTGTAATCCCAGCACTTTGGGAGGCCGAGGCGGGTGGATCACGAGGTCAGGAGATCGAGACCATCCTGGTCAACACGGTGAAACCCTGTCTTTACTAAAAATACAAAAAAAAAATTAGCTGGGCATGGTGGCACGTGCCTGTAATCCCAGCTACTCAGGAGGCTGAGGCAGGAGAACTGCCTGAACCCAGGAGGCGGAGGTTGCGGTGAGCCGAGATCGCGCCATTGCACTTCAGCCTGGGTAATAAGAGCGAAACTCCGTCTCAAAAAAAAAAAGGCCGGGGCAGAGTGGCTTATGCCTATAATCCCAGCACTTTGGGAGGCCAAGGCAGGCGGATCACAAGGTCAAGAGATTGAGACCATCCTGGCCAACATGATGAAACCCTGTCTCTACTAAAAATACAAAAATTAGCTGAGTGTGGTAGTGTGCGCCTGTAGTCCCAGCTACTCGGGAGGCTGAGGCAGGAGAATCAGTTGAACACAGGAGGCGGAGGTTGCAGTGAGCCGATATGGTGCTGCTGCATGCACTGCAGCCTGGCGACAGAGCAAGAGTCTCAAAACAAACAAACAAACAAAAAATCGGGCATGGTGGCTGATGCTTGTAATCCCAGCACTTTGGAAGGCTGAGGCAGGCAGATCGTGAGGTCAAGAGATAGAGACCATCCTGGCCAACATGATGAAACCCCATCTCTACTGAAAATACAAACATTGGCCGGGCAAATTGCTTGAACCTGAGAGGCAGAGGTTGCAGTGAGTCAAGATCGTGCCACCTCACTCTAGCCTGACAGCAGAGCAAGACTGCATCTCAAAAAAAAAAAGCAAGTAAGGGAATGAGAGGAGGCCTAGGATAAGATAGGGTGTGATAAGAGTGCCCAGCCAAGCCGGGCGCGGTGGCTCAAGCCTGTAATCCCAGCACTTTGGGAGGCTGAGGCGGGTGGATCACGAGGTCGAGAGATCGAGACCATCCTGGTCAACATGGTGAAACCCCGTCTCTACTAAAAATACAAAAAATTAGCTGGGCATAGTGGCGCCTGCCTGTAATCCCAGCTACTCAGGAGGCTGAGGCAGGAGAATTGCCTGAGCCCAGGAGGCGGAGGTTGCGGTGAGCCGAGATCGCGCCATTGCACTCCAGCCTGGGTAACAAGAGTGAAACTCCGTCTCAAAAAAAAAAAAAAAAAAAAAAAAAAAGAGTGCCCAGCCATTCTGAGCATTACCAAAGCCTGGACCTGCCCCAGGTCAGGCGGGGATACCACAAGGCCCTGGAGGAGAGAGGTGGTAGTAGGGACAGGCATACTAGGTCAGAAGTAAGGAGTGCAGAAGAGAGCCAGGCATGGCGGCTCATGCCTGTAATCCCAGCACTTTGAAGGATTTTTGCGGATAGGGGCAGGAGAGCCAGGAACAGAAGGGCCCCGGCAGAACACGCCTGTCTGCAGAGGAATTTCCAGTTCCGTGGGCGGCGGCTGTGGAGCAGGGGTCAGCTAGGTGGCCCGGGCCTCGCCCACATTCCTGCTCTGACCTGGGGCCCATTCTCCAACCCTTTAGGGCCCCAGTGTTTTCTGTGAAATGGGGGCAGTTCCCATCTGCCAGGATCCTCGTGACAACAAATAAGAGCAGGAGAGCCCCCTACCTGCCCCTCACAGCCTGAGGCCTGACAGTCCCAGCGAGGTGAACACCTGGCTTTCCCTGTTGTACAGACAGAGGCAGAGGGTAGGAAGTTGCCTGCGGCCATGTGGCTGGCACAGCCTGCTTAGCCACCTAAGTACGCGGGAAAGGGCAGCTCTTCTCCATGAGCTCTGAGTGGGGCCACAGGACCACTGCGCCTGACGCCTGACGGATCCAAGGCCCCACAGGTGGAAGGTGAGTGACTTGCAGCCAGGCACCTGGCCTGGGTCCCACCCCTTTCCCAGGGATCAGAACAAGACATTGGCGATGTGTGTTCGGAAGCCCTCCCTGTGCATTCATTCATTTGATCCTTGTCACACCCTATCAGGGAGGTTCCTCATGGTTGCCACTTTAGAGGAAGAAACTAAGGCAGAGAGTGTAAGTAACCTGCCCAAGGTCACAGAGCTAGTAGGCAGCAGAGCTGGGATGCTAACCCAACCAGTGTGGCTTCAGGGGCTGTGTGCTTAGCTGTCATGCCACAGGCTCCTTCCAGGGGTACCGTGGGCTCCCCTGGAGGCCTAGGCCGGGGAAGGGCCCCTTGAGCCTTCTGCTAGGGCCAGTTCTGCCAGGAGCCTGTCCTATGGGGTGGGAGTTTTTCCCCATATTCATGGACTTAACAATGCCAAGCCAGTTGTCAAGATGACACCTATTTATGCAAATTGAATTATGTATAAAGATACAGCCAGGCTGGGTGACAGGCCAAGCACTTTGGGAGGCCAAGGCGGGTGGATCACCTGAGGTCAGGAGTTCAAGACCAGCCTGCCCAACATGGTGAAACCCCGTCTGCACTAAAAATACAAAAAATTAGCCGGGCGTGGTGACGGGCGCCTCCCAGCTACTTGGGAGGCTGAGGCAGAAAAATCGCTTGAACCTAGGAGGCAGAGGTTGCAGTGAGCTGAGATTCAGCCCGGGTGACAAGAGCGAAACACCATCTGTAATAATATATGGGCCAGGCGCGGTGGTTCATGCCTGTAATTCCAGCACTTTGGGAG